AGTGTCCTATTCTTTCAGATTGAAGAACTCCCTTTAGTATTTCTTGTAAGATGCCTCTGGTGTTGATGAATTATCTAAGCTTTTGGTTGTCTGGGAAAGACTACCTCTTCTACATGTTTGAAAGAAAGCTTTGTTGAATGCAGTATTCTCATTTAGCAGTTTTTTCCCTTCAGCAATTTAAATATGCTGTCCCACTCCCCTCTGGCATATATGGTTTCCACTGTTTGCAGTTTCTGGACAAACCAGAGCTCCTTTATGTGTTATTTCCTTCTTTTTTCTTGCTGCTTTAGAATCCTCTTTATCCTTGACCTTTACGAGTTGATTACATGCCCTGGGGTAGTCTTAATTGGGTTGAATCTATTTGGTGATCTCAACCTTCCTGTACTTGGATATTTATATCTTTCTCTAGGTTTGGAAAGTTTTGTTATTATTTTTTTAAATAATCTTTCTATCCCTTGCTGTTTCTCAACTCCCTTTGAATGCCAGTCACTCACATATTTGCTCTTTAAAGTTTATCCTCTATATCTTGTAAGCATTCTTCATTCCTTTTCATTCTTTCTCTTTTTTCTCCTTTGACTACATATTTTCACATTCCCTGTCTTTGTACTCACTGATTCTTTTCTCTGCTTGATCCATTCTGCTATCAAGACCTCTAATGCATTTTTCAGTTCAGCAAATGCATTTCTCATTTCTAGGATTTCTGTTTAAGAGCGAGTGTGTGTGTGTGTGTGTGTGTTTTGGGTTTCTTTCTTTCTTTTTTTTTTTTTTTGCTGTTGTTTTAATTTTAATGAGTTCTGGGGTTTTTTTTTTTTGAGACAGAGTCTTGTTCTGCTGCCAAGGCTGCAGTGCAGTGGCACAATCCTGGCTTACTGCAACCTCTGCCTCCCAGGTTCAAGCAATTCGTCTTCCTCAGCCTCCTGAGTAGCTGGTATTACAGGCACGGGCTACCATGTCCAGCTAATTTTTGTATTTTAGTATAGAATGGGTTTCACCATGCTGGTCTGGCTGGTCTCAAATTCCTGACCTCGTGATCCATTCGCCTTGCCCTCCCAAAGTGCTAGAATTAGAAGTGTGAGTCACCATACCCAGCCATTTTTTGTTTGTTGAGACAGGGTCTCACTCTGTGAACCAGAATGGAATGGAGTGGCACAATTTCAGCTCACTGCAACCTCCACCTCCTGGGTCCAAGCGATTCTCGTGCCTCAGCCTCCCAAGTAGCTGAAATTACAGGCGTGTACCACCACACCTGGCTATTTTTTTTTATTTAGTAGAGACAGGGTTTTACTATGTTGTCCAGGTTGGTCTCAAACTTCTGACCTTAGCTAATCTGCCAGCCTTGGCCCTCTAAAGTGTTGGGATTATAGGCCTGAGCCAACAGCCTACTGAATGGGCAAAAGCTGAAGGCATTCCCCTTGAAAATCAGAACAAGACAAGGATGCCCTCTCTCACCACTCCTATTCAACTTAGTACTGGAAGTCCTAGCCAGAGAAATCAGGCAATAGAAAGAAATAAAAGGTACTCAAATAGGAAGAGAGAAAGTGAAACTCATTGTTTGTAGACAATATGATTCTATACCTAGAAAACCCCATAGTCTCTGCCCAAAAGCTCCTTGATCTCATAAATAACTTCAACAAGTTTCAGGATACAAAATCACTGTACATGCACAGTGGCTCATGCCAGTAATCCCAGCACTTTGGGAGGCTGAGGCAGGTGGATCACTTGAGGCCAAGAGTTCGGGACCAGCCTGGCCAACATAGCAAAACCCTGTCTCTACTAAAAACACAAAAAATAGCCGGGCATGGTGGCACGTGCCTGTGGTCGCAGCTACTCAGGAGGCTGAGGCGGAAGAATCGCTTGAACCCAGGAGGCAGAGGTTGCAGTGAGCCGAGATTGTGCCACTGCACTCCAGCCTGGCGACAGAGCAAGACTCCGTCTCCAAAAAAACAAAAACAAAAACAAACAGTTGGGTTTGGTAGCCCATGCCTGAATTCCAACTATCTGGCTGGTTGAGGCATGAGAATTGCTTGAACCCAGGAAGTAGGGGTTGCAGTAAGCCTGAGTCACACCACTACACTCCAGCCTGGGTAACAGAGTGAGGCTCTGTCTCAAAAAAAAATAAATAAATAAATAAATAAATAAATGTACAAAAATCAGTAGCATTCCTATACACCAAAAACATCCAAGCTGAAAGCCAAATAAAGAATGTAATCTCATCCACAAGAGCCACAGAAAAGAATAAAATAAATAGAAATATAGCTAACCAAGGAGGTGAAAGACCTCTACAACAAGATTTACAAAACACTGAAAGAAAGAAAACAGAGATGACACAAACAAATGGAAAAACAATCCATGCTCATGGATAGGAAGAATCAATATTGTTAAAATGGCCATACTGCCCAAAGCAATTTACAGATTCAATGCTATTCCTGTCAAGCTACCAATGACATTTTTCACAGAATTAGAAAACAATATTTTAAAATTCATATGAAACCAAAAAAGGGGCCAAATACCCAAGGTAATCCTAAGTGGGCCATGCGTGGTGGCTCATGCCTGTAATCCCAGCACTTTGGGAGGCTGAAGTGGGTAGATCACCTGAGGTCAGGAGTTTGCGACCAGCCTAGCCAACATGGTGAAACTTCATCTTTACTAAAAATACAAAAATTAACCAGTGGTGGTATACATCTATAATCCCAGCTACTCAGGAGACTGAGGAAGGAGAAGTACTTGAAACAGAGAGGCAGAGGTTGCAGTGAGCCAAAATCATACCACTGCACTCTAGCCTGGGCACCATAGTGAGACTCTGTCTCAAAAAAAAAAAAAAAGAATTCCTAAGTGAAAAGAAAAAAGCTGAAGACATCACATTACCCAACTTCAAACTATTCTACAAAGCTATGGTAACCAATACAACATGATTCTGGCACAAAAGCAGACATATAGACAGATGGAACAGAATAAAGAGCCTAGAACTAATGACACACATCTATACAATCAAGGAAAACAAGAAACAGGGAAATACCTCTTCATTCAATAAATGATATTGTGATAACAGGCAAACCATATGCAGAATATTAAAACTGGACCCCTTCCTTACACCATATACAAAAGTCAACTAAAGATAAATCCAAGACTTAACCGTAAAACTTAAAACTACAACAACCCTGGAAGACAGCCAAGGAAATACCATTCTGGACACAGGACTTGGCAAAAATTTCATAATGAAGATGCCAAAAGCAATTGCAACAAAAACAAAAATTGGTAAATGGGACCTCATTAAACAAAAGAGCTTCTACCAGCAAAAGAAACTATCAACAGAGTAAACAGATAATCTACAGAATGGTAAAAAAAAAAAATTGGGAACTATACATCCAGCAGAAGTCTAATATCCAGAATCTATAAGGATCTTAAACAAATTTACCAGAAAAAAACAATACCATTAAAAGAGTAGGGAAAGCACATAAACACTTCTCAAAAAAAGACATACATGCAACCAATGAGCATACAAAAAAATGCTCAACATCACTAATCATTGGAGAAATATAAATTAAAACCACAATGAGATAACCATCTCACACCAGTTAAAGTGGCTATTATTAAAAAGTCAGGAAACAACAGATACTGGCAAGGTTGGAGAGGAATGGGAATGCTTACACACTGCTGGTGGAAATGTAAATTAGCTCAGCCATTGTGAAAAGCAGTTTGACAATTTCTCAAAGAACATAAAACAGAATTGTCATTCAACCCAACAATCTCATTATTGGGTATAGGCCCAAAGGAATATCAATCATTCTACCATAAAGACAACGCATGCATATGCGTATCACAGCACTGTTCACAATAGCAAAGCCATGAAATCAACCTAAATGCCCATCAATGGTGGACTGGATTTTTAAAAATGTGGTGTATGTATATATGTATACACACACACACGCACACACACACACGCACACACACACACACACACACACACACAATGAAATACTATGCAGTCATAAAAAAGAATGAGATCATGTCCTTTGCAGCAAATTAGATGGAGCTGGAGACCATTATCCTAAGGAAACTAACATAGGAACAGAAAACCAAATACTGCACATTCATGCTTACAAGTGGGAGCTAAACTGTTAAGTACATATAGACACAAAGAAAGGAACAACAGACACTAGGATCTACTTGAGGGTGAAGGGTAGGAGGATGGTGTGAGAATCAGAAAAGTGTCTATTGGATACTTGGTTTATTACCTGGATGACAAAATAATCTGTACAACAAACCCTATGACACACAATTTACCTATATATAACAAATCTGCACATGTACTCCCTGAACCTAAAATAAAAGTTAAAAAAAGAGAGAGAGAAATAATTATGGCAAGAATGACAGACTTATTACACAAAGCTTTACAATTTCTGTCATCGGCCGGGTACGGTGGCTCATGCCTGTAATCCCAGCACTTTGGGAGGCTGAGGCGGGTGGACCACCTGAGGTCAGGAGTTCAAGATGAGCCTGCCCAACATGGTGAAATCCAGTCTCTATTAAAATTACAAAAAATTAGCCAGGCGTGATGGCGAGCACCTGTAACCTCAGCTACTTGTGAGGCTGAGGCAGGTGAATTGCTTGAACTCGGGAGGCAGAAGTTGTGGTGGGCCAAGATTGCACCACGGCACTCCAGCCTGGGCAAGAAGAGTGAAACTCTGTCTCAGAAATAAATAAATAAATAAATAAATAAATAAAATCTATCATCAAAAGACTCCACAAGCAAAACTAAACGCAAACATCAAGCATAGGGGAAAAAATCTCCAAATATATTCCAGAGGGCTAATATTGCCAATATAAAGAGCTACTACAAACCAATAAGGAAGTTATAGGAATTACAATGTAAAAACAGACAAGATAAGAGCAGGTAATTTGTAAAGGAAGAAATAATGGGCAAAAATATCCTTATTCTAACTCAATGCAATACATTGAGTAGGATTATAGTATATAATGTATACTGAATTCATACAAACCTGCAATATTGCTCTTTCAGGTAACTGTGAAATGTCACATTCTGGAGTCTCACCTACAAGACAGACTTCAGAAGAACTTTGTTCAGGAAGATTGGATTTTCCTGCAGAAGCTCCTTTGAGTAGTAACCTATTTCTCCATTTTTTCAATTGAAGCTCATGTTTTGATATCTGCAATGTAAATAATTTTAAAATTGCATGGAATTGCTATCAGGGTCAAAAGAGATGACAGACATAAAGCACAGTGCTTAACACAAGGATAGCACCAATTAAACATTATTTATGATCATCATTACCACATAAACTGTAATTTTTCATAAGCAGGTTCAATGTTCTCTGAACCACCAAAGTATTACAGATCATTTGCATTAGTTGTCGTAAAACACTGGCACAGGCAGTCACCTTGAAAGGCTGATTTAGTCTCATCTTTCATAGATGAGAAAGTGAGACCAACAAAGTCAAGGCTCTGGCAATTAAAAAGCTGGTATTTGGTACATGAAGTGAAGGTGACTGACATACAGATAACAAAAAAAGAAAAAACAGAAGTAATGTATTTGGGAAATTGCCAAATTTATTGTCACAGGAAGACCCCATTTCAGCTTTTGATATGCTTCTGAAAACTGTGTAATAAATAAGGGTGGTATTTCAGTCATAAACATGTACACACAATACTGATGTAATATTTACATGTGTATGTGTGTGTGTGTGCATGTGTAGACATATGTGTGTTGTGCATATACACATACATATTAGAGTTTGAGGAAAAACACATGCGGTGCACTTGACACACAGTTGTTCCCTGCCTCTGCTCCCAGCATACACCTGCTATCCTCTCTCCACTTAAGTGAATGTAGAATGATTGTTAGGTCAATAAATCATGTATCTAGAAGGAAAATGTTCTCTAAACACCAAATTAACTATATAATACACATATATATTAAAGATATTATTAGAGTATATATATCAACTACTGTGTGCAAAACATTATGCTCACCATATGGGAAGACTAAGAATACTGTCTGCTCTCAGGGATTTTTTTTTTTTTTTGAGACAGAGTTTCGCTTTTGTTGCCCAGGCTGGAGTGCAGTGGTGTGATCTCAGCTCACTGCAACCTCCGCCTCAAGGGTTCAAGCACGTCTCCTGACTCAGGTTCCAAGTAGCTGGGAATACAGGTGCCTGTCACCATGCCCAGCTAATTTTTGTATTCAGGGATGTTTAGCTGAAGGGGATGCACAGGGGCAGACTAGTCATGCAGTTACCTATTTCACTACTAGAGAATCAGTGATCAGGCATAGAGGGCAGTGATCAAAACACTAGCTTAATATACAAAGTGGTAGAAAGCACTGAATGAGCAGACTAACATAGTGTTAGGTACCCAAAGTAGAGCTGTTTCACTGGCAACATTGAAAAGGTAGTTCACAAAAGGCAAAGCCTAGAGGGCAGCCTACAAGACCACAAGCTCAAAACCCAGAGATTATAAACTTCTAGAGAGCATCTCAAGTAACCTCTGAGATGATTAAAGCACAGTGTGGGCTCTAGCATTGTATTAAGCACATGTAAGTAATAAATCTCATACTTTTTTGCTGTGTATGTGTGCTATTGTCAGTCTCGACATCTGAACTAAATTCAGGTAACTGGGGGCATTGATCCATGGGGCAACCACAAAAGAAGGGGATTTAACTTCACTCCACATTCTCTTTGCTATTTACCCTTACTTTGTATTTCAAAAATATTTATAAAATATTGCCTACTAAGTAACATAACTACAAAAAAATATCCAGTGTGTTTCCACAGCTGACTGTAGTGTCACTTTGAGCATACTAAACCAATATTAAGTAATGATATGCTAATAGCTGAGGTAAATTTTAAATTATTAAGTTAAAGAACAAGAATCCTAGCCAGAGACAGTGGTTCGTGCCTATAATCCCAGCACTGTGGGAAGCCGAGGTGGGCGGATCACCTGAGGTCAGGAGTTCAAGACCAGCCTGGCCAACATGGTGAAACCTAGTCTCTACTAAAATTACAAAAAAATTAGTTGGGTGTGGTGGCGGGTGCCTGTAATCCCAGCTACTCGGGAGGCCGAAGCAGGAGAATCGTTTGAACCCAGGAAGTGGTGGTTGCAGTGAGCCAAGATCGCACCATTGCACTCCAGCCTGGGCAACAAGAACAAAAACAAGAGCAAAACTCTGTCTCAAAAAAAAAAAAAAAGAACAAGAATCCCATCAAAAGTACATTATATTCAGGATTTTAGTATTTTTCCATTATTATTTGAGGCAACATGAATATAACTGAAAAATTCAGATTCTTAAAAAACTGTTTCAATATACAATACCAGCTCATCTTCTTTCTTTTTATTCTTATATCTTGCTCTATTCCGCCATTTTGTTAGAATAATGGTTAGCTTGTGACAATAGATGATCCGTTGTATCCGCAATACCATATCTGAAGGAAATTTACTAGATTACTGTATATATTAATAGTTATAGCTATTTCAAAAAAAACACAAAGTGATTTAATATTCTATAATGTTTATAATATGAGCCAATGTTGCATCTGATCATTTTTGTTTGGTTTTATTTACACTTGAAATTAATTACTTTTGATAGTATTAGTACTTTCCAGAGCTTATTAACATGGAAAATCACCTTTGCCCTTAGAAATTAAGAAGTAATAGCTGCAATAGAAATGTCAAGACATGTATCATTTCTTTTTTTTTTTTTTTAACAAGGTTGTTCTCTGTAAAACCAGAACTTCTAAACTTTTTCATAAGAAATACAGTCATAAGGTAGCATTTAGATCCAATGCCTTTGAATTTAATTTTATGTCCTACCATTAACCAGTTCCTAAATCTTCAGAGGGTCCACTCTGACTGAGGTACCAACCACAGCCAGTCAAAAAGAAATGATTCTCTGGTTTGCAACAGCCATAAACAAGTTATTATCTGGAGAGCTGCAAAAAAAAAATCTAAGTGGAAGGCAGGAGTTCTTGGAGATTATACTGAGTGGGCACTGATCACATGAAGGTACCTCCCAGTCACCCAGTATAACCCCCGACGTCTTAAGAGAAAATGATATTTAAAGTTTCCTCATATATACATTAAATGTAATATTTGTAAAAAGCATAAACCTCTCCATAAAAATAAACCTCTCAATTCTGCTACCTGTCCATACTATTTGGTACCCATCCAGCTCTCTATTATGCAAAAAAGCTCATAGTAGATTCTATTTATATTCATGTATTCACAAATGCACACTAGACGTAATTTTTAATATGCCCGTTTCCTATTAAAATAAAATTCTTTGAGACAAATCTCATTTAAGTATTTTTAAATTAGTGGCTCTACCTTCATTTCATGACAATTCTCTAGACATAAAAATGATAGGTTCTCTAAGTATACAAACTATGCCTAACTGTATTTTAATTATTTCAATAAATGGATACAAAAAGTAATTGCTGCTATGTAAAAATTTACTTTTAAGTTTTTCTTTCTGGTCTTCTATATAAGAGTGCCAGTGATGAAATACAGATTTTTGAAGTCTGAAATTGTAACGTGTCACTGCTCTGTTCATTTTATCAGCCAGGACAACATTTTGATTTGCATGAGTGATGTCTCTCCAAGTGCTGCAGGCAGAAAACATTAAAAAAATTTTTTGATATTAGGGTAATATATCAGTAAATAAATTACGAGGAACAAAGAATGATATCTCCTTTATGATCTCAAAAGACACAGCATAGAAAAAAACTTCTACAAATTGGGTATGACCTGAGGAATTCCTAATAGTTATAGAGAAAAATGGACATTATATGACAGTCATATTTCTTTTTGGATAAAATAAAGAAATCATGGAATAAAATCATGTTGTCATAACTCCAATTTACCATAAGAACCACCAAATGATGTCTAGTTTAAAAGGAAATCTAAATTCCAAAACATATTTGGCTCCAAGGGTTTCAGATAAGTGAATTGTGAAACTATACTTTTAATTTTAAAGTTTTATTTTTTAGGAAAAGATAGTAACACATCAAAGAAGTAAAATATATATCTTAACTAAGTGAAAGCTGAGTAAATATGAAAGAAATACATAACATCAAATGGTAGAATCATGATTAAATAGATAAAATCAGCACAACTGGCCAAAAGTTAATTTTTCTTTGTCTGAAAAACATCAAGAATAAAAACATAAAGAGGAAGAAATTGCTTATAAAAATCATATTCTTACCCAAAATGAGTCTTTACTAAATGTCCAGTATAAAAGCTACATGCTTTTATCATCAATTCTGGAGTCATCTAAAGTAAATAAATAATTGAAATAATGAATATTAGAAATAAATGGAATGCACAGGCTACCTCTGCAAGATACTCAAGAAAGAGAGCAATGGATGCCAAGAAGGAAGGGAACTGGGCAGCTAGAGACAGGAATGGGTGGAAAAAACTACATACCATTTATGTTTTGGAATTTTGTGTATGCCTATAAGCTATTTTTTTAAGTTAAAATCACAGCTTAATACATTTTCCCATTACATCCCACTTAGTTTGAAGCATTTTAAGGTAAGCATTATGGTATTGTTATGGTAAGCTATATTTATAATAGCATAGAATTGCAGGTCTGCTGTTCACCATTAAAATGGAATGATTTTCTCAATCATTCTGAATCAAACAGAATGATCTTCCCAAGGGTATATGTAAACTGAGATTCTCTTTTCAACATAGAGGAATTCCTCATTTACCAAGCAGGAATAGGAAAACCACATAAATTAAAAGTCTAAACCATGGAATATACTTAAAGAGATGCAAATTTATCGCTTACAACTATTCACAATAACGTGGCACTAGCTAACTGAAATCATCTATACCTTCTGTGCATTCTTTCATAAGTAAAGATACTATTATATTAACACATTTATTATTGCACATGGCTACTGTTAAGTGTTAACGGTGTTAGGTTTTCCTCTTATTTTATTGCCACCTTGCTTACTATATAGATATACAAACATATGGTCACATCTATTTGTTATATAAATAAGTTCGGTTGAAATCTATACCAACAGTCAGAAATTCTGAATTCTACTTTTCTAAGGCAAATGTTTTCTCCTTTGCACACTGCTGTAAATACTTTGTTAAATAAACAGATATGGCGTACACATATTCATTATAAATTTATTTTAGGCATACAAGAAAGGCCCATAGGCCCCCTGATATTCTACCTCATGTTTAATGACATTTGAAAATCCTCAGTTTTTGGTCAGGCATGAGGGCACACGTCTGTAATCCTAGCACTTTGGGAAGCCATAACAGGCAGACTGCCTGAGCTCAGGAGTTTGAGATCAGTCTGGGCAACGGTGAAACCCAGTCTCTACTATAATACAAAAAATTAGCCAGGAGTGGTGGTGTGAGCCTGTAGTCCCAGCTACTCGGGAGACTGAGACAGGAGAATCGCTTGAACCCGGGAGGCAGAGGTTGCAGTGAGCAGAGATCGCACCACTGCCACTCCAGCCTGGGTGACAGAGTGAGAGTCTGTCACAAAAGAAAAAAAAAGAAAGAAAAGAAAATCCTCACTTTTGATAGAGATTAAATGCAAATTATCCCTACAGTGAGGGAAAACATAAATGATTCAAGTCATTCTTCACTAAATTCAGATTTTTATACAAGAAAGGAATCCAGATGAGTAAAGAAGGAGTCCCGAGGATATTACAACAGGCAGGATAAAAAACAAGAAGGGAATGAGGTAGCAGAGGCAGACAATCTCATTAACATTACAATTTTTCAGTACTACTGTAGGTCCCTAAATTTCATGAGCCTGATTCTTTTTAGATGATATTACCTGAAAAGTCCTAAATAACTACAGTGAATGATATAGGTCATAAAAATATGAGTATATGATCAAATGAATGTCATTTAAAACATTATAGTAATAATGACTTTGAAAAGAATTATTAAAATTCAGCAAGTACCATTTGAACTCAAGTTTTCTTTCCTGATGATCAACTCTTTAAAACAGCATAAAAGCATTTTCTATTCTATTGTTGAAAGAAGTAGTTTAAATCCTCATTAATTCACAATTTACAATATACCAGGATTTTTGTTGTTCTAATATTCCTTTTTTAAGAGTTTCTCTTCATCAGTTTTTAGTTTAATTTTACATTTATTGTTCTCCAGTTTGAAAGAAAGAGAGGAAGGAAGGGAGGAAGTGAGGGCGGAAGAGAGGAAGAGAGGGAGGGAGGGAGGGAGGGAGGGAAAGAAACAATTAAAATCATGATTTTTCCTTATTATTATTACAGGTATCCTCTTGTTTTCTTCACAGAGAAAAGCAACTTTAAGAGAGCATCTCCAAAGGACTGGTGTGCAAGAGGACTCCAGCCCACTAATGCCCCATTCCCCACTTGGGGGTGGCATGTGTTGACTCCACTGCAGCTCTAAGAAATCTCTGGCCAATCCAACCATTGGGCACGTCTGGACCACTTAGTCGCACATGGCTTCACTTCCTACATTCATGTTTCCACCATCCACACTCCAGCCACCCTTCATATACAATGACTTTCCACGCTTCATAGTCATTGTACGTTGTTTAACTTCTTGTGATTGGAAAATATTCTTCCTCTCACCTTTTAATTCCAGCTGGCAGCGCTATGCACAGAGTAGGGGCTCAACATATACGTATGTACTGATCAGTCAACAGAATTAGAAAACTGTCTAGATGCAGGTCAATTCTCTGCCATCTGACTACCACAAACAAAGGGGAAAAGATTCTGGCAACAACTTTGTGGGGAAGTCAGTGGATAAACAGCACGTTAGTGCTGGCTATAGATGACCTCAGAGTGCCCTCACATAACATTCACACCACAAGTGCTGCTGTCCCCAGACACCTGTAGTTATAAATAAAGTGAGAGACGAATGGATAGTGCATCACAATACGATTTCTAAGAGCCCAGGTACATTATAAGGTTAATTTCTAGTCTGGAAATAAAAGAAAAAAAATCTAGCATAAGAGATGATTTTTAAAGTTAAAGAGTAGGAATCTGTAAATAAATAACAAATCAGTTGTGAAAGAAGTTTTGTAATATTTAGAGTTTGACGCTACTTTTTTAGGCCAGTGGCCTACAAAGAAGCCAGTTAGAATCACCTGTGCAACTTCTTATAAACTACTCAGGCTCACTTCCCCGGATTCCTTAGTCCTCCACTCTCACCCTCTCTAGGATGAGTCACTATTATTACTGAGAGTATGTCTTATCCTTCACGTACACTGGGGACAGATGAATGTTAAGGCCCACTTTTTAAGCTGAGTTCCAGCAGCATGTAATAGCACACACACTAGTTTCAAGGAAACATACTTTTATAGATTAAGAGAGAAAAAGAAGTGAAATACAAAACTGATTTCTTTTTGAAAAGATGCTATATGTAGTATGATTACAACCCCGTCCTTAAAAAAAAGTTTGTTAAAAAATTTCATTCCTCTGCCAAGGTTGGAGGAAAAAAAGATTTAAAATTTCAAACTTACTAGAAAGAAAACTAACACCTTATACCCAAATTCCATGTTTAACATTGTCAACATTCTGCCATACTTGTTTTTTCTATTTTAAAGTATATAAATTAAGACATCATGACGCTTCATCCCCAAAATCTTATCCATCTTTTAAAAAATGAGTACATTTTTATTACAACCATAATTCCATTACCCCATCTTAGACAATTACCAGTAATTGCTTAATATCATTGTACCCGTGCCACAGCCAACTCTCTGGAATTGTCCTCCAAATATCTCATACAGTTTGTTTAATCTAGAATCCAAACAAGGACCGTATATTTGCATTGCAAACTCAGTTTATGTGAGGATTTCAATAGCTACAAAAAAAAAGTTTTAGTTTTTCCTTCTCCTTTTCTATATTTTTTGAACATTTAATGAGTATGAGGTGTGGAAGCAGGATAACACTGGCCTAAATCTAATGGATTCTGTTACCTGGGCCTGTCTAATATTAAGTTCTAAAAGTCAGCCGGGCATGGTGGCTCACACTTGCAATCCCAAAATTTTGGGTGGCTGAGGTGGGAAGATCCCTTGAGCTCAAGACTTAGAGAGTAGCCTGAGCAACATAGTGAGACCCTGTCTATACCAAAATTTTAAAAATTTGCTGGGTGAGGTGGTGTGCAAAAGCAACTTGGGAGGCTGAGGCGGGAGGATCACTGGAGCTCAGATGGAGGCTGCAGTGAGTAAGCTATGATTGTGCCACTGTACTCCAGCCTGGGTAACAGAGTGAGACCCTCTCTCTCCATGCATTCTCTTACTCCTTCTCTCTCTCTCTCTCTCTCTCACACACACACACACACACACACACACACACACGAGTTCTAAATATTTTTGTTTTGACAGACAGGAGACAAGAAAGGTTTTTTTTTCTTTTCCTATCCTCAGAAAGAAAGACTAGAATGGGGATGGGGGTGGGGAGCCACATGACATCTGTCTCTGCCACCTGAATCGGGGATCTGAGTCTTAGGGAAGAAAGAACTGCAGACAGAATCCAAAAGAACTGCTCCTGTGAGGCACACAGCACTATTTGTGCAATACAAAGTGAAGGAAAGGCATGTCCCCCACTACTGTGCAGCACACAAAGCACAAAGCCATCAAATTTCATGGGAGTAAATTTTGCAAACTTAAACTACTGTGATCAAAAAATATTACAGATGTCTTACATTATGCCAAATTCTGAAATAATACAATCCTCCAAGTTAACATTTTATGAAAGGTATTTCCTTTCAAAGTTGGTAGGAAAACGAATTAAAAGTTTAAGTTCCTGCCACAAAGTGGTAATATTTCGACAGGTAAACAAATGTGGCTTTAGTCTTGAAGTATGAGTTTGAGTTATTAGCAGTCTTCAGAAAAATATGGCATCTTGTGAAAAGTGTGACCAACCAGTATTGTCTGAGTAAAGCCAGCAGGCCAAGGGAAAGGAAAGGTATTTGGCATCTTAAGCATTTGCAGGTGTAGAGCCTGGAGCACCAGCTCAACTAGATGCTGGGGCTCTTAGGAAGGACAGGGTGGCAGTTCTAGAGTTCCCCTTCAGATGGCCTCATAGATTCTAGACAGACACTAAGAGGAATTCATGAATTCACATGGAACAGCTTTAGGATTCTCCAACACAAACAAGTAGAACTTGAAGGGGAAACTGACCTCCTGTGTTATGAAGACAAGAGCTAGAGGCAGTGAAATCTGGGATAGTCCTATTAACATTACCCTATTTGTATCCCAGGCTGGTGAGACCTGGGGAAATATTGCAATAAATGAAAAAATAATTTAA